AGTGTTCTGTCTGCATGTGTCCCTGCAGGCCAGAAGAGGGCACCAGATCTCATCACAGATGGTTGTGAACCACCATGTGGTTGCTAGGAATTGAACTCAGGACCTCTGGAAGAGCAGCCAGTGCCCTTAACCTCTGAGCCATCTCTCCAGCCCCAGAGGTCTTGTCTTAAAAGTCAAAATGGAAAGAAAAAAAAAATGAATGAGACAAGAGCTAACTCCTAGCCTGGGAATAGGGCCAAGAGGCCCGTGCTAATGTAGAAGTGCAACCCTGTACGGGGTCAAAGATTGTGTTTCCTCTGCAGGAGCTGAACTCAAGGCTCTGGCTTGCTAAGTAGTCTAGGCTCTTTAGCAGTGCTTAGCAAATGATAGGATTGTCCAAGGCACTCATGAGTTATCCAGCATCATTTTCAACTCTTAGATAGGCCTCTCTCTCTGCTCCCTTGCCATTGTTTTCCTTCATGTAAATGGTCTAACTCTTGATTCTGCCTTGAAGGGAAGTGGTGTCTGTTTGCCTTTTAACATATTGAGTCTTTAATAATGACAAAAATAAGCATATAAATTATAGAGCATAACAAAATGAACACCGAAGACTCTACTGTTCTCCTTACAATCATTGAAGAAATTAGGGTTTTCTGTTCAAGCATGTGACTTAACTCAGGTCACAAAACTTGTAGCTTGGTGGGACATGACAGTACACACATTTAATCCCAGTACTCAGGAGGCAGAGGCAGTTGGATCTCTGAGTTTAAGGTCAACTTGGTCTACATAGTGAATTTTATCCAGGACAGCCAGGGCTGTATAGAGGGACCCTGTCTCAAACAAAAAAGCTGTACCTGACAAAGTCCTAATTTTAACCCAAGTTCTCTGTAACTCCTCCTATGTTCTTCTCTCTGTGGGCTTTCTGTGGGCTCACAGGTTTTTTTGTTTTGTTTTGGTTTTGGTTTTTCGAGACAGGGTTTCTCTGTGGCTTGGAAGCTGTCCTGTTTAGCTCTTGTAGACCAGGCTGGTCTCGAACTCACAGAGATCCACCTGCCTCCGCCTCCTGAGTGCTGGGATTAAAGGTGTGCACCACCAACGCCGCAAGGGCTCACAGTTTTAATAGGAGTGAAGAGTGCATTCTTTCGTCAGTGCTCAGTTAAAGTCAATAGATTCTTTTGCCATTGTAATTCTTTTTTTGAACTCTTAATTAGTATTTTCCAACTTGATTTGGTTTATGGATATTTGTTAGTCTCTTTTGAGAATAATATTCACTCTCTCATTTGTTAGTCTCTTTTGAGGATAATATCCTCTCTCTCTCTCTCTCTCTCTCTCTCTCTCTCTCTCTCTCTACTAAAGAACCCTGATCTAGAAGCAGCTGGGAGTGGGGGTAGGAACAGGTAAGGCATTTATCAATAGGCTTGCTCTATCTCCAGCATGGACCCAACCAGAATGGGGGTGGACACCTCTATGTAGCCCTAACTGTCCTGGAATTTGCTGTGAAGACTAGTCTGACCTAGAACTTCAAGAGATCCACATGCCTTTGCTGCCTGAGTGCTGGCTTTTGAAACAGATTTTCTTTTTTCTTTTACTTTACATTCTTATCCCAGTTACCCCTCCCTCCTCTCCTCCCATCACCACGTTGAGGCAGATACATATATATGAATGAATTGGGCTCCAAAAAGCCAGTTCATGAACTAGGGGATAGATCCTGGTCCCGCTGCCAATGGCCCCACAAACTGCCCAAGCCATCCACTGACACCTGCATTCGGGGGCCCTAGTTCGGTCTTGTGCAGGTTCCCCGGCTGTCGGTCTCGAGTCAAAGGGCTCCTACTAACTCTGGCCAGCTGTTTGAAACAGATTTTTAAATCAGAAGTGCTTTCCTCCAAGGCAGTGGTTCTCAAACTGGGGGGTTGAACGACCCTTTCACTGGGGTCACCTAAAATCATAACAGTATCAAAATTATAGTTATGAAGTAGCAATGAAATAATTTTATTGGTAGAGGTCATTACATGAGGTTAGGGAGGTTGTGAACCACTGCTCTGAGGGCTGACCCTGAATCATTTTCGCTTTGTATTTCTTATTGGCTTTTGAATTCAGCATTGCTCTTAGATCAGCCTAGCCCTAGCTGGGCGTTGGTGGCACTTGCCTTTAATCCCAGCACTCCAGAGGCAGAGGCAGACGGATTTCTGTGAGTTCGAGGCCAGCCTGGTCTCCAGAGTGAGTGCCAGGATAGGCTCCAAAGCTACACAGAGAAACCCTGTTGAAAAAAAAAAAAAAAAAAAAGAACAGCCTAGATCTTAAGGAGTCATTCCCAGATCTTTTGTGTTCCAGGTGGTTATGCATGTATTATCTGTACACCTGCTCTAGAGAAGGAACAGATGAGTAGCCATGAGAAAAGGGTCTGCATTAGGCATGGTAGTGCAGGCCTTTAATTCCAGCATGGGGAGGAATTGGCAGGCAAATCTCTTTTGAGTTCAAGGCCAGCCTGCCATACAGAGTGAGTTCCAGGACAGCCAAGGCTACACACAGAGAAACCCTGTCTCAAAAACCAAAAAGTGTATGGTATAGAGGCAGCTAGAGATCTTGAATGGGAAAGCTTAAAGGCAAGCTCTTCCATCCAGCCTGACGCCTGTGTATATCTCTGCAGCTCAGTGGAGTATCTTGGAGTGGGAGTATCTTATCTCTTGGGATTGAGAGATAAGATGGGCTCCGTTATTCCTAGAACTTCAAATCAGAGGGATGCCAGCTGAGAATAGAATAACCATCTAACCACATTTGTTAGCCTTTAAGTAGTTTTAATATCATGTAACTTTTAAGTAGGAATTTCATTGTGATGGAAATTTGTAAAATATCTCAAACATAGCTGTCAAAATTTGGATCTCTCCAAAGGAGGCTATTGAAAAAAAATTTTTTTTCCAAGTAGGAAAGTTCTGTGTTGGGATTTAGTGATCCCTATATTTCTATGTTGTCAGTGGCTATCTCGGCATCCTCTGGGGGCAGGTTTCTGTATTTTCACCAAGGACTTTCACCTTCACTCCAGTTGCCTCCAGAATTTCTTTATTCTTATGTTTGTTTTGGTGCTGGGGATTGAACCCAGAGCCTCACACTTGCCAGGCAAGTGCTTTTCTGCACTATACCCTACCCTCAAGAGCTGTGAACAAAAAGGATTCTAGTCTATACTTGGAGTGTCCTGCTTCAGACTTTGTCTTAAGTGACCTGTGAATCTTCTGTGCCAAGTTTTTCCTTTAATCGTTTCTAGGCAGACACTCCTTAGAGCTTAAACATGATATTTCCCTCCCATGTATATTCTTGAACTTCTCAGAGGGCAGCCATGAGGTTTGGTACTTTTCCTGTCCCCCATGAACTTTGGTTGTTTGCCTACTCTCTTACTGGTTCTGTTTCTTTCTAGTGGATATGCTGCTGATGAAATCACTCACTGCATACGGCCTCAGGACATTAAAGAACGCCGAGCGGTCATCATTCTCAGGAAGTAAGTACTTTCATGTCTGGCATCCTCTGCCTTAACTACAGGCCTGTCTGAATCCTCTAACCTATCTACTTCTTGCATGCACTATATAATCTAGGGGAGCAGAAAGACACAAAATATCTTATTTTACATCCTTAGGCTGTTTAGGGAGTCCAGTGTTGAGCAAAGATGTGCTCCTGAAAATTATTGGCACACTTTTTTTTCTTTCAAGGATTTTTTTTTGGGGGGGGGGGGGTGTTGGGACAGGGGTTCTTTTTG